TCACACTCGAATCCCCTCTTTTCAGGCCCAAGGTCCCAAAATGGAGAATCAATGCTCTCAGTACCGGACATCACAGCAGACATACGGAAGACACTGAGGGACTATTTCACAATTAACACACCAGATCAGACTTCCCCCACCACACTGTGGGAGGCACATAAAAGTGTTATATGAGGACACTTTATACAAAAGGGCGCAACATTGAAGAAACAAAGGGAAGCCCGCATGGCTACACTGTTATCGGAAATACAACAGTTGGATAACCTCAACAAACTTTCCCAACTTACAACACACCAGACCACACACACCTCTGCCTGAGGAGGGAACTGACAGCACTCTTACACACTAAACATCACAGGGACATGCTGCGACACAGGGCTTTCTTCTCCCTACATGGGAACAAGAGCGGTAAGCTTTTAGCGCGCATGCTCAACAAAGACAGGACACATCTATATCGACCGCATCAGGGACAGTAAGGGCGTCCTACACAAATACCCGACTAAGATACAGGAGATTATGCGCGCTTACTACTCAGACCTGTATTCCCTCCTCCAGTCACACACAGACATACACAAACAAAGATTATGGGACTCTATTGACCAGTACCTGGTGGCCCATAGCCTTCTGTCTTTAAAAACAGAAACGTCAGACCAGATGGAGGAACCAATCACTCCAGAGGAATTGGCAATAGCAATTAAAAGCATGTAACCTGGCAAGAACCCGGGCCCAGATGGCCTACCCATCCGGTACTATAAATGCTATACAGACATTCTGTACCCCCTGCTTCTGGCCATGTTTAATGCCATCAGGGACGGACATGGCCTCCCCACTATCCTGCCGAAAGAGGGAAGGGCTCGGGAGCACTGTGGGAATTTATAGACCCATATCTCTCATTAATTGTGACCTCAAACTGCTGGCCAAAATCCTGGCCGTCTGGCTCCAGACGCTTATCCGCTCCCTGGTACACGCATACCAGGGGGGATTCGGGATGGGACGCGAGGCCAGAGATAACACCATTTGAGCTCTCCCACTAATGCACCAGAAGTCAGGGGGCGGTGGAGGCCTTCTCCTGCTATCCACGGACGCGGAGAAGGCCTTCGACAGGGTCTTCCAGACATTGGCGCACCTTGGGCTGGTACCACACCTACACTCAACCCACCGCACATGTGGTGGTTAATGGGGCCCTGACAAAGGAATTCTCCATCTACAATGGCACCTGGTAGGGATGCCCACTGTCCCAGTTACTCTTTTTATCCTGGCCCTCAAACCCTTCCTGACAACTATTATACAACACCCAGACATCACAGGGATAACCATGGGAGAGACGCACCATAAGATCGCCGCATATGCGGACGATTTCCTGTTTTTTGTAACAAACAAAGAGGTGTCCCTCCCAAATATAGTGCAAGCGTTCCAGACTTTCGGAAAGGTGTCGGGCCTAAAATTCTATTTTTCCAAATCGTTTATCTTAAACATCAATGTGCCCCCACAAAGGTCCGCCCGGCTTCGCCAGAGTCATGCATTCCAGTGGGCCGAAAATAAAATAAGATACTTGGGAACATGGCTGACAGCGAAGGGATCAGAGCTATATGCAGCAAACTTCGCCCTGATGCTGTCCACGTTCCAGAAGGAAATGAGGGACTGGTCCCTCCCACATATATCCTGGTTGGGTAGAATACAGGTAGTCAAAATGAACTTCCTACCAAGGTTGCCTACCAATTCCAGGCCATACCCATCACGATACCGACCTCCTTCACCTCCCTTCGTAAGGTCCTGGGGAATTGTATATGGGATGGAAAGAGGCCTAGATTGAAATATGCTTTACTCATGCAACCCAAAGACAAAGGTGGACTGGCTTTGCCGACTTTTCACTATATCATAAAGCATGCAACCTGCAGCGGATAGTGGAGTGGTCCAAACTGAGGGTTACCTAACTTTGGAAGCAGGCAGGCATACCCGCCGCTCTTCTTCCGTGGCTCCCTGCGCGGGGGAGCGGGGTTATTTCATATACACTAAGGCCACTCTAAAAGTGTGGCGTAGAAACTCGGGGCGGCACTCCCTGACCACATACCCATCCCCTTTGCTCCCTCTCACACACAACACAGACTTCCCGCCGGGGTTAGACCGCAAGGCACTCTGGTCCCTCTTTAGAGACCCACTACCAAGACTTAGACATGTATGCTCCACACGGGGGTTAAAGGACTTGACGGACATGTGTGGGGAAACAAGATTATCGATTGTGTTGGCACTCCGTTACTGGGCGGTGCAGGTATTATAGGTATTCCCCATCAAGACCTCAATGATATATACAAAAAACATCAATTAAATACCGCACTCATATGCATAACCATATGCATAAAAAAGAGAGAGTCTCTATTCAATATGCAAAAAAGTTAAATTGATTTATTATACACTGGTTGTCTAAATCAGTTCATCAACAATATGTAAATCACTATTGTATTTGTCACTTCATATATGGTACACAAATAAATCACTATAGTGTTCTGATGATCTCCTTCACAGT